TGTGTGTGTGTGTGTGTGTGTGTGTGTGTGTGTGTGTGTGTGTGTGTTGAAGTAGAATCATTGGATCACACCGTGTTTATTTTTAGGGACTGGCATACTCTTTTACACAATAGCTTACAGCTCATTTAAAAATCTTAAACATTGTATTATTTTCTACTATTTACTTAGCATTTTTTCTTTTTCTGAAGTTTTAAGTTTTCTATTAAATTGTAGTTCTTAAAATCAGAAACCACCCCGAGTGTTATGGAATACAGGAGAAGATGTAATTTCTCTATTTTCTTGTGCACACAGCCATTGTCCTTATGTATGAAAATATTCAACTATTTTTTTCTGGTTTTAAATAAAATTTCCCCATCTCCCATTCATACCTCACATTTAAATTCACTTATATTCTTTTTGGTAAACTATATTTTAATATTTTTTATTTGCTATTGTTGATGGTGCTGGTGTTGCCACTGTTGTATAAGTAAGTGTGTGTGTGTGGAGGGGATGTTCAGACTCAAATCACCAGGCCTCCATGGCAAGGCAATGTTTGTTTGTTCATTTTTTACCAGCTGAGATATGTTGCCAGCTTTCATTTATGTTCTTAAAACCAGTAAGTATTCATTCTCACACTGCCTCATTCCCTCTCTCTCTCATATTCTCTATCTATCTCTTTGTGTCTCTTTCTCACTCCATCCCCTTTCTGTGTGTGTGTGTGTGTGTGTGTGTGTGTGTGTGTGTGTGTGTGTGTGTGTGTATTTTAAATTAAAAAGAAATCCTTCAACCAGAGTAATCCTGAATTGTTTCCTGTAAATGTTCACATACTTGGAGAAGAACCATACTGGTTGTTAGAACATGCTTAAAATTCCTTTATTAGGAAATAAATCTATCTGATTTTAATGTTCTGCCTTATAAATTCACCAAGTCTAAACTGAAATGAGAATGATTAACAGATATTTAGGAGGCTATATTTCCATAGAAATGCTTGCATGCAGCTGCCATAAATACCTACCATCAAATGTTGGCTGTTTCCAGCAGTTTGAAACCACACAACAATGATTTACCCTCTGTCTGCTCTGTGAAGTCTCGAACATGACACCACAGTCATCTGGATCATGTGGCTGCTATCTTTTTTCATCCTAAATGTGATGGGATCTATTTCTATTTAGCATTTGGCTCCAGCAGGAGTAACTTACCTTCTGTTAGTGGATAATGTGACTTTGGCACCATCTTCCTTTAACTCCAAGTCTGTGACTCAGAATATGAGAGACTTGGAGGTGGCAACAAAACGTTAGATGCTTTTGATTGTGAACACATAGACTCATTAATGCAATATTTGTGTTAGAACTTAAAATTTTAAAGTGTACTTTTGTTATGTGTCCATTTTTATCTTTTACAGTTAATAAATATGAAGTGAACTGTCTCATAACACTTTTCTACAACTTGGTGGGAGATGCGGCAGAAAGGTCAGGGGCAGTCGTTGGACTAGATCGAAATGCATTTCGGAATATCCTGCATGTGACATTTAGAATGACAGATGACATGATTATGGACAGAGGTAAGATACACATATGAGTGAAACTGTCAAATTTATTTGTAATTAACAAAGGTGTAAGTTTGGTTATGCTCTTGGGAGAAATACCATGTTCTAGATTCCCAATTTCATTTGAATACATATGTGAATATATTTTAATCTTCCAAAATGTTTGGAGAAGGAATCAGTATCCTATTTCTTTTGTTGTTCAGAAAGAGAACAAAGCTGTGTTGGGTAGCTGGGTTTCATATGTCATACAAAAAAAAAAAAAACCTCATAGTTTTCTGCTTCTACTTAAATTTCCTTACATACTAGAAAATACTCAATAACAGCTAAGAAGCACTCCTACTATGTAAAGCATTGCTTGTTCTGAGGAAAAAAAAATACAATTATTTTTATTAAGAAGCTTAATTATCTAATGACTAGCATGTTTAATATGCCTATGTATTATTATTCACCTATATTTTATATATTAAGAACACTATTTATACCCACAACATATGAAGAGAAAGTTGAATATATAATTAAAAGAATTTTCTCAGTTTGTGTCAATTTCTTTTGTCAAATGAGGGTATGGGGACCTGGGTCTTGAAACAGCTATGAAATGAAGAGTGATGTTAGACTTGATGTATTATTCAGGATTAAAATCAAACACAAATGTTTCATTGTGTCTTTTTAGTGTTTCGGGGTTTTGATAGAGACAATGATGGCTGTGTAAATGTATCTGAATGGGTACAAGGATTATCACTATTTCTTCGAGGGACTTTAGAAGAAAAAATGAAATGTAAGCCTGCAGATAACCTGCTAGTTTATACATTATGGTAAACATAGCAAAAGTTTTTAAATAACTGTTTCCAATAAAGTGAGTTTTCATTGGTTGGTTAGTTCACTAACCTCATTGGCCATATTTATAGAGCAAATTACAGTCAAGAAAGAATGAGAGTATGTTAATTAACAGGGAAAATCAAGCCATTTAAGGAGTGTCATGGAAGGAAGCAGCACATGTTTGATCTCCATTTTAGCTATGTACTATTGTAGTTTACATTGCTTGATAACAAACTTTAAACCAGAAAACATAATTTAAGTTTTCTAGTTCTTAAATAATTCTCAACTAATGGAGTCATACTTCATTTAATAACATGAATGTAAACATGCAATTGCTTTTCCATGTTTCCAGTCAGTAATGCTCATGTTAGTGCTCCTAGGAGTTTCTTTTCATAGTCAGTTAAAGACACATGTAGAGAGGTATGAGAATGTTTCCCTAGTGTGCACTAACATTCCCACGAAAGTCAACTAGTAACAAGCTCAGAACCAAATAATGCAGCAATAAGACATGCCTTCTCCCTGATTTTTTGTCAGAAGAAAATGCCACCTTAGTGGTAATCTCGAACACACACCAACACACACACACACACACACACACACACACACACACACACACACACACACACTTTATATATCTTTTTCTTTAGACTGCTTTGAAGTGTTTGATCTGAATGGCGATGGCTTCATTTCAAAGGAGGAGATGTTCCACATGCTGAAGAACAGCCTTCTCAAGCAGCCCTCTGAGGAGGACCCGGATGAAGGGATTAAAGATTTGGTTGAAATTACACTGAAAAAAATGGTAAGGATGAGTAACTTAAAAGTTTTATGTTGAAATTTACAGTCAAAGTGTGGGGTAGCAGTAAGAATTCAGTGGTGATGACTTTCAGAGTTCTGTTTAGTTAAAGAACAATTGACTTTTGCTTGTTAGTGGAATATTTTTCTGTGAGCTGCAGGTGTGGGTCAGTGACAGAGCACTTGCCTAGCATGTGAGCGGCTCTTGATATCATGTTTTTTGCACCCTGCCCTTCACCACACACAACTTCTCAACCTAATCTCTCATTCTTCTACTAACACCTGACTGTGAAAAAGAGTGTGCATTTGCAGCAAGAGTGTCATGTGCTCACTGACCCAGGTTGCTCACCTCTCAGGACCAAGACCATGATGGGAAACTGTCCTATACTGACTACGAGAATGCTGTGAGAGAAGAGACTCTTCTGCTCGAAGCCTTTGGGCCATGCCTACCTGATCCAAAGGTAACAACATTCCTTTCTTTTTGTTGAATCAAAACATAATTTGGAACAGGACTTCTCAGCTTGGTATATGGTATCCAGAAGGATGTGAGCATAGAAAGACCCCCACAGAAGTGACAGTTTGTCTCTGTATTGTTACATCCCACTGATATGTTTTCTTCATTCTTAAATGCATTAATCCATGTTAGAAAGAGATAATGAGGTTCAATGTGTGCCAAAGACCCAGGGCAGTGGTTTAGTGGCTTCAGTGGAGGGCAAAAAGCAACATGAAAACTGTTACACAACATTGCAATAAGTATAATACCATTATGATAAGATGTAATGATTTGTATGGCACTTCTACTATGCCAGGCAATGTCATAAGCACAATACCTCATATCATCTAATTTTAGATGAGGAGATAAACTCAGAGGATTAATGCATTTTATCAAAGCTGACTTAACTAATTAGTGGGGTAGCAGGATGGACATGCTGCTGCTATTGTCCATAGAAAGCTATGTAGAACGTGGTAACCGGCAGGAAAAAGAACATCCACAGCATCTAGACCATAAGAAGACAGGAAGGCTTATCCAGAGAACCAGGTTTCAAATGAATAATAGCCAGGTAAAAAGGCAGAAGTAATCCAGGCAAATGAAATGACATGTGTATGAAAGAAAGTGAGGAATGGAGGGATCAGGAAGTGTATTACAAGAAGACCAGGTATCTACTTGGCTAGAGATAAAGTAGAAGGTACCTACAAAGACTATGACCTCCACAGCCTACTTTCATCTGGACAGTTACAGGGATGTGTAAGTATTGCAGTTTATGAATATCCCTACCCTTGAGCTCTAGTTTGTATCTCCAGCTACCGATTCAAGTGTTTACTAAGACCCTTTCTCAGGGGTCATCTAAGACCTTCAGAAAACACACATATTTATATTATGATTCATAACAGTAGCAAAATAACAGTTATGAAGTAGCAAAGAAAATAACTTTATGGTTGGGGGTCACAGCATGAGGAAGGTTGAGAACCACTGTGATAGAGAAACAAAATTGATAGAATGAAAAAAGTGCACGCGCCAACACACACACACACACACACACACACACACACACACACACACACACACAGAATTTTTGTAATGGCTTGTACTGTGTGTTTCAACGATTCTAATAATGACTGTCCTTTGACAGAAAGACCAAGAATTCACAAGGCAGGATATATCATCTGGGTTTCAGTATACATTGGAATCCTGGAAAAGTAGGTTCTAGTCTCAATGAAGGAATCAGCTAGCCAGGAAGAGTAAGGACAAGCAGACAAAGAGAAAATTCTTCTTTCATGTCCTTTATATAGGCTGCCACCAGAAAGTGTGGCCAATATTTAAGGTGGATTTTTTTCCACCGCAAATGATTCAGTCAAGAAAAATCACTCACATGTGTGCCAAGAAGCTTGGGTTTTAGTTAATTCTAGATGTAGCCAAGTTAACAACTAAGAATACTCATCACAAGTCCACCCCTTGTCAACTTGACACAATCATATCTCCTTATGTCATACTTTATTACCAAGTGAAAACAATAACCAGATCACAATAACACTGAACATGATGTAAATATGCCATATACAAGTGCAAATACATATATTTTAGAATAAGTGGTAATCCCTCCAGGGGCATTGTTTTAGCAACTTGAGTTTGGATTTTTTTATTATGTAATATAATATCAATTGAGAAAGTATCAAGGAAAGAAAACACAAATACATTCTTTACAAAATAAGACAAAATTAGTCATGTTAATTATAATCTGTGTTTCTGTGACTAGTCTTATGGCTTTAGCTGGTATTTTCCTTGACTACCTGTTCTGTATTTCCTCTATTCTGAGCAAGCACATCAGCAGGTTTGATTCGTTTCCATTATTATGTCAGGATATTTGCTTCAGAATGGTGAGGAATATGATAAGAACAATGTATTACATGAGCATAGTTCCACTGTGACACTTCTCTGGCTGTGGAGTGAGTTCCTCAGTCAGGAGCAATGCTGTGTGAAATACCATGATGGTGGATAAGGCATTCTGTAAGTCCATGGATGGTGTTTTGGCAAAAACATTACATGTAGAAAAGGCAAGCCCACACCAGAATGGGTATATACAAAAATAAGGAGAAATTGTTGTTTTTCTCATGGAGAAAGTGATTCAGTGCAGTCAACCTACTACCAGGTCACTGGCTGGTCACCCCAAGGGGACTCAGTGCTAGTCTCTGCTGTTGGCAGATTTGTCATTCAGCAGCAGCTGTAGCCAGGTTAGCCTTGGTAAGTGGAAGTACATATTGTTGATCCAATGCATAACCCCCATCTGTGTCACCATGCCCATTTTGTTCATGGCCAATTGGTCAATGACAAGAATGGCTAGGAAAAGAGGCTGACTGTCCACAGAATTGGTCATCATATCTATTTGATTATTAAATTCTTTCTCAGCTGGTCAACCTTTTGATGAGCATAATAATGGGGAACAAGCATCTTCACATTCTGTGTGAAAGACCTATGGACATACTTCTTACCAAGAAGTCTTTCTCACCAATTTTCCAATTATGCTCTTTCCAAATCCCTGACAATTCAACCAGTCCATTGGCTATAGACCATCAATCACACATCAGAGCATTTATCCTTCCAAACAAAATATATGGACATGTGTAGCACCTGAACTTCTGCCCAGAGCAAAGATTTCCCTTTGCCAGTGTCGGTTAGGATTCTCATATACAGGGGTTGTAATTCTGCAGCTGTATATTTTTAGGTGGTTCATGTATACCATCAGTAAACCAGACCCTACTTGCTTCTACTTTAGTCAACTGATCATAGGACACACAGGTCTACATAGGGTCTACAGGTGCATGCTTGGGAGCAGATGGCACTGGAACAGTAGTGGAAACCAGAGGCTTTGGAGCAACTTCTTCATACAGCTTGCTTATACCTGTAGGGCCTGGTTGGTCTGATCATGTATATACCACATCCAATTGATAATGGATTGATGCTGTGCACATCCTTCTTTATGGCTTGATGGATCAGATAACGCCCAGCTCTTGTTGGCAAGCTCAGGACTCATGATAATTTGGTTGCCCACTGCCAAATGTTCAGTTTCCACTAAGGCACAATAGCAGGCTGAGAATTATCTCTCAAAGGGAGAATACTTGTCTGCAGATGATGGAGAACCTTCCTACAAAATTACAAAGGTCTCCTCTGTGATTCACCTTTAGGGCCTGCTAAAGGCTCCAAACAGCATCAGTGTCTGCCACTGACACCTCAAGTACCATTGGGTCTGCTGGATCATATGCTTCAGATGATAGCACAGACCACATAGCAGCCTGAACCTGTTGAAGAGCCTTCTCCTCCTCCAGGACCCACTCAAAGCTAACAGATATCTGAGTCACTTGGTGTATACCCTCAAGTAACACATCCAAGTAAGGAATCTGCTGTCTCCAGAATCCAAATAGGCCACATGTATGTTGGGATTCTTATTTTGGTGGTGGGAGCAGCCAGATGCAATAACTTGCCCTCCACCTTTAAAGAAATATCTCTGCATGCCCCACATTACAGCACTGCTAAACATTTCACTGGGGTAGAAAGTCCTTGAATTTATTTCCCATGCTCTGATACACATATGTTTTCAACAAGCCCAAAGGTGGTTGCTACCTCCTATTCATTTGGTCCGATCTGCATAATGCCATTAATACCGTGAGCTACTGTAATATTTTGTGGAAGAGACAAGTGATCAAGATCCCTTCAAACTAAGTTATGGCACAGAGATGGAACATTAATATATCTTTGAAGTAAAACTAAAGGTTTACTGCTGGTCTTGCCAACTGAGAGCAAAAGGCTTCCGCTTGTCTTTATAGACAAGTACCAAGAAAAAGGCTTTGCTAAATCAATAGCTGCATACCATGTGTCAGCAGATGTGTTAGTCTCTTCAAGTAAGGACACTACATCTAGCAAAGCAACTGCATCAGAAGTCATTACTTGTTTAAGTATTTGATAATCAACTGTCATTCTCCATGAACCATGTGTCTTTTGCCCTGGCCAGATAGAAGAACTAAGGGAAGAATTAGACCACCATGTCTACACCTTTCAAGTCCTTGATGGTGACACTAGTTTCTGCAGTTCATGAGAAGCAATACTGTCCTAAGCTCACTATTGTTCCTGGCAGAGGTCACTCCAATGGCTTCCATTTGGCATTTCCAACCATAATAGCCCTCACTCCGCAGGACAGAGAACCAATGTGAGAATTGTGCCAACTTCTAAGAATTTCTATCCAAATTATGCATTCTGGAACTCGGGAAATAACTATAGGATGAGTTTAGGATGTACTAGAACTATTTGTGAGTTGTACTTCAGCCAAAACTCCATTAATCATCTGACTTCCATAAGTTCATAATGGATGGCCACAATGCTTCTTGAAGTCTCCAAGAATCAGTCAATTCTGAACCAGTATCCAGTACAGCCATGAAAGTCTAATTGTCTCCTTTTTCCCAGTGTAAAAAGGTCTTAAGTCCCTCTGGGTAAGCATTTGAAAAAAGCTAACTCTTAGGTATTTTAACAAAGACTTGGCTGTCCCTTCATTAAAGGAGTTCTGTGTCTGCAAACAGACTCAAGTCTGGTAACTGGTTCACAGGCCTTTTGGCAAAATGCAATGTAGCCTTTCTTTCATTTTTTTGAGAAATTTTCTGCATATACAGATCCAACAAAAATGCAATAGGCTTCTTATCTATTTTTTGACTGGAAACATCATGACAAATTAACCAGTATCAAAGATCCATGCAAGTTATTCCACCATAAAAATCAATTTGCCCATGCTACTCATTATGGGACAGGATTGCTTTGCCTATGATACCTATTATAATAACTAAAATCACCTTGTCTTTGGTGATTTGAATGATGCCTACTTTCAGGCTCAGTTAAACCCAGTACATTTAAATTCATCCAACTGAGCAGCAGTGTCTCTGACTCCAAGGAAAGGGTGAAGACCAAATTCTTTGAATGTGTTAATGCCCCTCTCACCATTTTGCATCTTATAGGAAGGATTAGTGGAGAGCATGTCTTCTGAGCCTTCTCATTATGCAGGATTAGGTTTTACACAGCATACCCACTCTAGCTTTGCAATTTCCCTGAACATCAGCACTAAGCCAAGGGGCATCGTACATCTCCAACTCCTTTTCAGGAGGCCATCTTTGACAAATGCCTTGGGCCACTATTCAAGCAGATGTTTGACACTGTTTTTTTTTTTAACTCTTTAAGCATTCATATTAAACCTAGAATCTCCAATCAGATGGCCTTTATCAATAAACTCAGCCTGATCTAATTCTATGTTCCTTCCACCATTATCCCACTCCCTTAAAATCCATTCTTATACATATTCCCTAGACTTCTGTTTGAATGAATTAGCAAACTCATTCAGTTCTGTAGTGGTATAGTGCATGCCTCGTGGACTACAGTTTGAATCTCCCCCTCGGGAGCCTGTTTAGCCTTAAGTCTGGTCATAGGTCTAGAGGCAACTGTTGGTGGGCCCTGAGAGACATCGGTATTGTCTTGCTTGGCATGTCTTTCAGGAAAAGTCAATGTTGGATTAACATACAAAAAAGCACTAGTTTCCCTCTGTGGAAAATGTAGTACTTCAGAGGGTTGGGGGGGGGGCACATCTGCTAAGGGCAAGAGACTTCTTCCTTAAGGGAAATAAATCCCTGAGAATCTGAGGGATCAAAGTTCTCAGCCTCAGTATGATACTCTCATACATGCCTATCCCAAGTTATAGGACCCATTCTTTATCAGTTAATGCCCTTGCTATAATCCTCAACACCCTCAATGTCTGGGGCTTGAATTTTTCCTGTAATTCAACCAAGCCAGTCTTACAATGAGAGCTTCAACTTGAGCTATGTGCCTGCTGGAGAAAAGATTATCCTTCAGGGCATAATTAGAAATCTTTAGACTTCTTATGTACATTTAGAGGCAGTCAGTTTTACCCCTGGGTTCATTGTTGTCCTTTACCATGTTTTGAAATGCTGGGAGTTGGTTAATTTTATCACACAGATGATTCTGTTCCTTAGTCAATTTATTTACAGATGCTAAGACCAACCAGTTAGCATCATTATTTTCTTAATTTTGTCACAAATTGTCCACAAATTGAATATAGTCTTTGCTCCTCCCAATAGGTAAGTCAGGATAATCAAATGCATTTTGTTTCAGTAAGTTTGTTAAATAGTTTACACTATGAGTTTTCAGAGCCCTCCAGAATTCTAGCCAAGGCTTCAGTAATAGTAGGTGTTGGCAAATTGGAAACCTATTCCAGGTACTTATGTAACTCATCTTTATACTTCTGTTGCTCTAGAACAAATCGTGGCACTAAAATCTTCATTAGTCAGGGTTCTCTAGAGAAACAGAGCTGATTAAATATAAATGATATTTATTAGAGTGGCTTATAGTCTGTGGTCCAACTGACTATATATGATATATATGATATTTACTAGATTGGCTTATGGCTGTGATCCAACTATCTAATAATGACTGTCCCCTAATAGAAGGTCCAGGAATCCAATAGTTGTTTAGTTCACAAGCCTAGATATCTCAGCTGATCTTCACTATCCATTGGGATCCCAAAAGAGTAGGCTCCAATCTCAGTGGACCAATCATCTGGCCAGGGAGAGTGAGAGCAAGCCGACAAGACAAAGGAGCAAGTCCTTTATATAGGCTGCCACCAGAAAGTGTGTCCCAGATTTAAGGTGGGCTTTCCAACCTCAAATAATCCAATCAAGAAAAATCTTTTACCCAGAAGCTTGGTTTTTAGTTAATATTAGATATAATCAAGGTAAAAACCAAAAATAGCTATCATGCCAACCTTCCCTGGGAACCTATTTCTACAGACATTAGTGAGACACACAGAATGCTTTGTTTTGTTCTGCCTCTTTTTTAAGTCTATACTAAGTTCAACACTTTTATCTTACAGAGCCAGATGGAATTTGAAGCCCAAGTATTCAAAGATCCACATGAGTTCCATGATATTTGAATTCCAATATGTACTGTTTTGAGTAAGTCAAAAGGAGCCACATTAAGTTCATCTGTTTTTCTCAGCCCAGGAGAGGCTGTAGTGAGAGTCCATTTATTTGTACGTATTTTAGTCCAGGCCTGCTTCAGAGATTCTGGGTTTGGCAGGAGAGGTTGACATTGCTAAAGCTATTTTACCACATGGATTCTGTTAAGACATATACCTGTCATAAAACCTCCAGATTAATCAAAGCAATGAACAAATTATATAGTCATCCCTTAAGAATATAAATAGTCTTCATGTCAGAAATAGTTTGAATATACACTGAAATGTTGTTGAAACTATGGAGTTTCCTTCATAGCAATAAGTGTTGAAGATGATACAGAATAAGAACATGGCAGGCACTAGGGGCTATAGCAATGAAGGACAATGGAGCCTCTTTATTATGCTTTCTTCTGTTACATGAGGCTTTACCTCGACAGCTCATAGGCATTGCAGGGCAAAGATTGTGTCACACATACCTTTCATGGCCACCATGGCAGTTACCCTTTTGCATATAATGTGCCCTCAATAAATATTTCAGATTGGATTAAAAACAGTAAAGTGCCATACAATTATGTCCTGTCCAACAGAAAGAGAAAGAGAGACAGAGATGGAGAGAGACAGAGAGAGAGAGAGGGAGAGAGAAGATAGGTCTGCTCTGTCCATAGGCCCAGCTTTCATTAATCTCTGGAGGCATATTGCACCCCTACATTGCAGTCAGATATAAAGACCCTCACTGTTCTGGCTCCTAGTGTTGCACCTAGTGTTTCTGTAGTCCCTTTTCCACCACCATATGCAATGCCATGTTATAGTTCCACACTGCCTGAATTTCCAGTGTACAACCTATTACAGGGATCATGTCATATTGCATTCTAATGTGCCTGCCAGCTGTGACATTTTAAAGACTCCTGTGGTTGCTGTGGACATCATGTGGCATTGAAATAGCTCCTCTCTCTCCAGATCTCTGTAAACTCCCTTATACCCCTTGGTACTCACAGGAGAGCAACTGAGAGGGCCAATGATGTGGCACCTACCCCTGAAGTATAAGAGCTCTAGAGAGTATGACAAAAAGCAAGTCCCCTTTCTTGTTATATGTGCATTATTAATTTTGTGCAAAGGTTATATTGTATATAAAGAACTGACTATCACTAATAAGTGGGAAAACAATTCTATGAAATTAACTATGTTAATATAAGGGGCTTTACATGAGTATTCTCTCTATGACAGTTATAAATAATAAAGCAAATGTTCTTTATATTTCTATCTTCATTCATTCATTCATTCATTAGGAAATGACAGCCAAAATGATGTGTAATTAAGGTATACTCATGTGTATATGTGCATACGTCTAAACAGTTACTACTTAAAGTTAAATAATATACCTGTCAACACATACCTGTTTAGCTTGAGTGCAGTCTGCCCTCATGGTGAGTTTCAGGGGCATCAACTGTATCTTCTGTTGAATGAATTACTGACACCCACTCCTTTCCACTTATCAGTGGCCAAAACCACCCACCACCCTACTTTCTGCCGCCATGAGATTCTTGACTTTGAATTCACATAAAAATGAGATTCTATAGCACTCCTTTTCTTCTGTGTGAGGCATTTTGTGCTTTTGTAATGCCCAGCTTATTATCTACAGTATCACAAATGATGTAAAATTCCATTTTAAAGACTGAATATCATTCCATTTCAAAAGTATATGAAATAAATGGCTGTAGATCATGATACTATCTTTTACTATTTGTCTAATGACAGGTTATTTTGTAGCATGTTTGTTTATTTGTGTCATGTGAATGCTGTGAAATAAAGGCAAGATTCTGGTGTCACTCTGTGTGATAGATTTCATTTCATTTGGTAGCTCTGTTTCCACTTTGCTACACTCTTTTCCATGATGGCTGTCCTAATGTACATTTCCACCAATGCTGTGAAGACTATTTCCCATAGCCTGTGAACGTATTTTTGTTGTTTTTGTGTGCCCTTCTAATGTTAGCCACTAAAATCGGGGATGTGACACTGTACTTCCTTGGAGTGTGGCAACATTGAGCATTGATTTTTATATATTGTTGGTTGCTTGTATATATTTGCAAAGCATAAAGTTGGGGCCCTTGTTCAGTTTGCATTGCACCTTCTTGTGTAATTGTGGTTCAATGAAAACTATTTCACTAGCTTAAGAAACTATAAAGCTAGTATTGACTAATATCCTGGCATGTCTGCGTTCACTTCTCCACTCATGCAGCTTTCATGTGATTTCATTAAAACTGCATCTCTTCCAGATGCTGCCTTGGGGACACTTTTCAGGTTTTTTAGGGTTTGTCCACAATCTGTCTTGTCTTGCCTTCCATGTGTCAGAGCCACAGGCAGCATCCGGCCACTGATGATTGTTGTATATTTAAGTTATTCTGGTGTTTGACTAGTGATGAGCACCTTAGAGCTCATCTCACATGCCTCACCACTGACTTTCTTGGAATGGGTTTGAAAAGTAAATTGTTTCATTGAGGTTATGTGTGGTTCCCACAAAGCTGCTCCTGGCCTATGAGAATATCAGTATCATTGGTAAGAGCAGACTTTCCACCTGCCTCTCCAAAACCCTGGATAGTTTGTATCATTCATCTTATCACTAGAGCTGTTCTCTGCATGTCCTAGTTTGCTTTCGATTGCTGTGACAAAGACCATAACCAGAATCAACTTGGGGGTGTGGGGAAAGGTTTTATTTCACACTACACTTCCAGGTAGCCATTCATCCGTGAGAGAAGTCAGGGTAACGATTCAAGCAAGGCAGGAACCTGGATGGAAGCTCTGAATCAGAAGCCATGGAGGAATGCTGCTTACTAGCTTTCTCCTCATGGATTGCTCAACCTGATTTCTTATATTACCCTAAATGCTTGCCCAGGGGTAGCACTGTCCACAGTGGGTTGGGCCCTTCCACATCAATCATTAATCACAAAAACATCTCAAGACTTGCCTGTAGGCCCATTTTATGGAAGCATTTTCCCAATCTTCATTCCAGATGACACTGGTTTGTGTCAAGTAGACCAAAACCCAAATAATATACTGCATCTAAAATTTTATTTACTGTATATTGAGTTCCATGTGTAGAACCCTCCTTTTAATGTAACATTATTCAAATCTTTTTAAAAATATGACCAAAAGCCTTAAAGTCAGTGCACCTTCGGATGATGCTGACACATGACTCAAAGGGCATATGCACCTTGTCTTTTGGCTTTTCAATATTCACGGAAGCACACCCTTTATGCTCACATTACCATGTGAAAAAACCTGTTTCTTGTTAGTATGTCAAAGTTATTGAATTCTCTTAATGTTATTGCTGTGGCAACTCCAAGATTTTTAACAAACATCTCTTCACTTGATACCAGGCATATGTAAAGACACAGAGTTCTTTTGGAGGACCAGCTTTCTCCCTTCTGGCCCATCCTGAGACACATCTGTTGTAGCCCAGCTTGGCTTGACTTACTATCGAAGTACAGCAAGCATTCAGACTAGTCCCCTGTCTGCCCTGGGGTGACTGAGTTAGGATAATGGAAAGTGTTTACAACTGAATAGGTTGGGGTATCATTTATTTACCTTAAAGCTTTAGCTTTCCCTTTTGTGATCTGTTCTTTAAAACCATCAAAAAGCCACCCTTGGCCCCTCTAGGATAAATACACATTACCCCACAAGTAACAGAGACTCTCTTTGGAAAAGTACTTTTGAGTACCTACAGGATTTGAAAACCACCACTGAAAACTGGTAGCCCTGCATTCTTCCCCACAGATAACTCTGTGTACAAGACAGTACTTGCAGGAAACTAGGCCTGCAATTGCTCACACCATGAAGTCATCCAATATGCATTAGTTTACCACTTTGTGTGATACAATGAGAATTGATGTGGTCTAATTCAGTTGTCTGGATTCTCATCTTTTGTGTAAATGATGACCTCACACCAGGCATTGGCTATATTGTTTACCTATCATGGGGTTCACGGGTGGTGACCCCTCTCCTCCAACACACACATGTATATCCATTTAAACCAAATATTGATAAGAGGAATTAAAATCAAATATGGTGCAAGCATGGTGAATAAGTTCCACATCTAACATTTTAGTGGCTCCTCAGGAATCATCATAACTCTTGCCAGAGCTAATGGTCAGTTCTCACTAACTTTGAACAAAAGAAGTTTGATAATTGTGCTTCGGGGTAGGGGGAGGAAGCACCGAGAGAATACAGAGTGGGGAGGGGGAAGGAGGGAGAGAGAAGTGGGGAGAGGAGAGAGGGAGAATAAGAGAGCCAGAGATGTAGCTCACCAGTGTACAATTTACAGTTTGAAAAGCTGTGACCTGTGGTGTCGTGTTGCCTTCCCAGTTAGTGAGGCAGGTAGTCACAGGAGAGATCTTCCAATGTGTGTTATCACTCAGGTACCAAACCAATTACATATGGAGCACATCTCAGAGAGCATGCTTATTTCATGGGGAATGTGAAAGCCAGCAACATTGAGGTCCTTTGGTCAGGGTATCATCACCCTTGGGCAGCAGTTGGTAATTTATAACTTTCTTGTATCTCTTGCCTCCTGTCTAGTTTGCCAAGAAAATATTATCACCCCTACGACACGCATCCTCTTGTTTATTTTTACTTTCCTCCTGCCTGCTCAATTCCACACTGGCCCTATTATGTGGCCCTTGACAGACAGGCTCACTGGAGCAGGGGCTTGTCAGCTTAATAAGTATTTGAATGAAATACAATCTGCTTCCCCCTTAAAGTGAGATGCAGCTTCCAATCTTCTGTCCACAACCGGAGGGATATTGAGGCCTTTGCAGCTAGGAGTCATCACATGGAGTCTGTAACTATGAATGGCCCACGAGGCTGAAAGCAGAGAATACAAAACTCTTCTTGGGAGTTAGAACCTTCTGCCACTTCCACTAGCAGGGAAGCACAGAACAGACCAGAATATACAAACCATTGTGGAAATAGTTCTTGGTGAA